TTGACAAGGTGCCCCATGATATTCTTGTAAAGAAGCTGGTAAAATGCGGTCTTGACTATGCTACCACTCAGTGGATTTGTAACTGGCTGACTGACCGAACCCAAAGGGTGCTCATCAATGGTTCCTCTTCATCCTGGAGAAGAGTGACTAGTGGGGTGCCACAGGGTTCTGTCTTGGGCCCGGTCTTATTCAACATCTTTATCAACGACTTGGATGATGGACTCAAGGGCATCCTGATCAAATTTGCAGATGACACCAAACTGGGAGGGGTGGCTAACACCCCAGAGGACAGGATCACACTTCAAAACGACCTTGACAGATTAGAGAACTGGGCCAAAACAAACAAGATGAATTTTAACAGGGAGAAATGTAAAGTATTGCATTTGGGCAAAAAAAATGAGAGGCACAAATACAAGATGGGTGACACCTGGCTTGAGAGCAGTACATGTGAAAAGGATCTAGGAGTCTTGGTTGACCACAAACTTGACATGAGCCAACAGTGTGACGCGGCAGCTAAAAAAGCCAATGCAATTCTGGGCCTCATCAATAGGAGTATAGCATCTAGATCAAGGGAAGTAATAGTGCCACTGTATTCTGCTCTGGTCAGACCTCACCTGGAGTACTGTGTCCAGTTCTGGGCACCACAGTTCAAGAAGGACACTGACAAACTGGAACGTGTCCAGAGGAGGGCAACCAAAATGGTCAAAGGCCTGGAAATGATGCCTTATGAGGAACGGCTAAGGGAGCTGGGCATGTTTAGCCTGGAGAAGAGGAGGTTAAGGGGTGATATGATAGCCATGTTCAAATATATAAAAGGATGTCACATAGAGGAGGGAGAAAGGCTGTTTTCTGCTGCTCCAGAGAAGCGGACACGGAGCAATGGATCCAAACTACAAGAAAGAAGATTCCACCTAAACATTAGGAAGAACTTCCTGACAGTAAGAGCTGTTCGACAGTGGAATTTGCTGCCAAGGAGTGTGGTGGAGTCTCCTTCTTTGGAGGTCTTTAAGCAGAGGCTTGACAACCATATGTCAGGAGTGCTCTGATGGTGTTTCCTGCTTGGCAGGGGGTTGGACTCGATGGCCCTTGTGGTCTCTTCCAACTCTATGATTCTATGATTCTATGATTCTATGATTCTATGATTCTATGAGTCTGTAACCTGAAGCGTCTGTAACCCGAGGTACCACTGTAGAAGGTTTTGGGGCTCAAAGCCTCCTTCTGGACTGCTTGTTCCCAGTAATCTGTACTGTCTGTCTCCCCACCCACACCCTCTCTGTCATCAGCCCTGAGGATAGATATTGGTTGTGGCTAATATTGTGCGTCGATTTCTGGCTGTTTGTGTTGCATGGGTACGCAGGGTGCCACCACAACCTGTGGTTGTTTGAACTAGCGGGGAGCGTCGATGCCAGCATGAAACCCAACAGCTGTACTTGGGCATGTCCTACCCCCATGCTGCACCGCTCTCACCCCCCTCCCCATCCCAAGTACCATTATGGCACCATATCCTACATGGGCCTGATGGATTGGTTTCCCTGTTGTGCTCTGTGTTATCGCAGCCCTGTTCTAATGCTAGTCAAACATCATGGTGAATAGCCCAACTCAATGGCAGCCGTGTCGGGCTGGAGAGTCAATATTAGCTGAGCAAACAGCGCAAACAAAGAGTTGCTATTTGCGTAGCTATGAGGAGCTGTGTGCTTTTGTCACCAAACAGGCCACTTGGAAATTGCGTGAAAAGGAAAGCTCAGAATTCTCTTGCTCAGCAAATGCTCTCTGTCAGGGTTAAAAACAGGCTGGGTTTTGTTGTTGTTGTTAAGCAAGTATATTTAAGATCAAGACTGGTTCCCATGCTTTCATAAGAGCCTGCAGGATCAGGCCAATGGGCATCTTGTCCAGCATCCTGTTCTGACAGTGGCCAACCAGATGCCTGTGGGAAACCCGCAACCAGGATTTGAACACAAGAACTCTCTCCCCTGCTGCGGTTTCAAACAACTATTAATCAGGAGCATTGCTTGCTTGGTAGAACACGAGACTCTGAATCTCAGGGTTGTGGGTTCGAGCCCCACATCGGGCAAAAGATTCCTGCATTTCAGGGGGTTGGACTAGATGACCCTCGTGGTCCCTTCCAACTCTAAAATTCTATGATTCCATTATTCCAACTGTGGAGGAAGAGCCTAGGCATCATGGCCAGTACCAACAGAAACAAATGACAAGCATTAGGAAGAGCTGTTTGACAGTGGAGTCACCTCTTCGTTGGAAGTTTTTAAACAGAGTTTAGATGGGGATTCTTGAGCTGTGATTCCTGCATTGCAGGGGGTTAGACTAGATGTCCTTTGGGGGTCCCTTCCAACTCCACATTTCTATGATTCTATGCCCATCTGACACATTGTTCCCTGGGTCCCCATATGGGTGGCAGAAGGGCTGTCAGGCTTCCTGATATTCAGTCTTACACACATGTGTGTGAATCAGCAGCTCTACAAATGTGCACATTTCAGCTTCAGAATTCCAGTGCGGTGGCCTTGTCACCGAGGAAGCTCATTTACGGTGCAATTATGGCAGGAGTCGGAGGCTGTTTGGAATAACGAAGCCCCCGTGGCAGACGCCGTTGCATTAATTTTATTTATCTCGAGTGGGTGAGTGGGAACGAGTGGCAGAGGCAGAAAAATAATTGTTTTGCTTCTAGGTCACTGGGATTGCTTATCGGGAGGGATCTCGGAGGCGCTGCTTTCCCCGGCAGAGAAGAGCGCGATATGAAATGCAGGAAGCACAGTCGTGGTGCATAAATAGGAACATAATTTCTGAAAAATGGAATTAATGAGGCAATGAGGTTGTCTTAATGAGTGCAAGGTCTGCTGTAAATGTCACCGCGCCAATGTCTTCATTGTAAATTACCGTATGAATTTCTGAACACCATTTCGAGAGGCAGAAATGAGTCGTGGGGTGGGAAAGAGCAAGGAGAGGCTGCGGGCGCATTGGGGGGTCAGTTTCCAGGAGAGGGACAGGCAAATGTGCTGTGAAATTGGGCTCGCTCGCCAGCCCAGCAGGATGGCAGGTACAGGGCGGCTGTGTGTAGTTAAAGTAAAGGGACCCCTGACCATTAGGTCCAGTCGTGCCCGACTCTGGGGTTTATTGGCCGAGGGAGCCGGCGTACAGCTTCCGGGTCATGTGGCCAGCATGGCTAAGCCGCTTCTGGCGAACCAGAGCAGCGCACGGAAACGCCATTTACCTTCCCGCCAGAGTGGTACCTATTTATCTACTTGCACTCTGACGTGCTTTTGAACTGCTAGGTTGGCAGGAGCAGGGACCAAGCAATGGGAGCTCACCCTGTCGCGGGGATTCGAACCGCCGACCTTCTGATCTGCAAGCCCTAGGCTCTATGGTTTAACCCACAGGGCCCCAAACAGACACGACACATAAGGACAAAGGGATGGGGAGGGATAAGGGGGGGGGGAATGCAAGCTTAGGCACTGGTTCTTAAAAGTTACAGTTCTTCTTAGGAGCAGCTGGGATGGAAATGGTTTGTGTAACCTATGTTTCAACTGCTTTTCATTCCGAATTTTAAATTTTAACTTGTCTTGGGACCTGCTGGTGAAGGGCAAGTAATAAATTTAAGGATGTTGATAATGCCGCCAGGTGGGGTGACAGGCAGTCAGGAGATGCATGCAGAGCTGCGGTGAGCTTCCGCTTTCCATCCAAACATCGGGGATGGAGGATGCAGGATCAGGGCGAGGCGAGGCGGAGTCTACGGCTAGGAAGTGCACACCTTCCACTTGTTCAGTTGTAGCTCATTTCCTTGAATGGGAGCTGTTGGATAGGGGCCAAGGGGTATCACCTGGTTTGCTGTGACCTATTGGGATAAAGAGGAATACCTAGGTGCATAGCCTACATTGGGCCAGAACCATGGGATGCCAGATAGAGAGCAGTTGCAGGCATTTTTTTCCATTTCATTTATTTTGCCTGCTCTACAGTGGTAACTCGGGTTAAGAACTTAATTCGCTCCAGAGGTCCGTTCTTAACCTGAAACTGTTCTTAACCTGAAGCACCACTTTAGCTAATGGGGCCTACTGCTGCTGCCGTGCCGCTGGAGCACGATTTGTGTTCTCATCCTGAAGCAAAGTTCTTAACCCAAGGTACTATTTCTGGGTTAGCGGAGTCTGTAACCTTAAGCGTCTGTAACCTGAAGCGTCTGTAACCTGAGGGACCACTGTATTAATATCCCACCTTTCCTTCAAGTAGCTCAAGGTGGTTGCATGGTTCTCCCTTGCCCCATTTTATCATCACAACAACCTTGCGAGGTAGGCTAGGCTGAGGCTAGGCTGAGAGTGACTGGCCATTTATCTCATTGTTCACTGTAGCAAAATCAGGCCACTATTTGTGGATTGGAAGCAACAACCATCCAGTCTTTACTGGGCTGATTTCCGTTCTGGATGGGGGATGAATAAGCAAATATTGACAATTTCTGCTCCCATTTCTGTTTTCACTGAATTTCTCCTTGAGGAGTCTCATGGGGAGAGAGGGCATTCTGCAGAGCAGCGTAGATTAAGTTTGCTCGCCCTATTGATCTGAACTGAAACTCCCATTTTCCAAAGCCAGTCCCATGCCTATTGAAGGACCCGATACAACTTGACTTGGAGGAGGACAGCACCAGTTGCTGCGTCTGGATTCGCACTCGCCTCTTCAGTTAACATTCCAAAGGAGCGTGTGCTCATTTGACTGATGCTCTCTATCTCTGGAGCTGCTCCTATGAAAAGTGGCTGTGCTTCTAAGGAAGTCAGAATCTTCCTTTGGGTGCCAAAACCTTCTTTGATCCAGCTATAAAACAAACAAGACTCCTTGGGCTCTCTCCTCCTCTTATCCTTTCAACAAACAGCCTGAGTCAATGTTGGCGCTTTTGCCACCTTCAGATGCATATGATGGCTGTAGCTTCCTTTTCAGATAGAAAGGGCGCCCGTCAACGCCCTGAAAACAAGCCAGGAAGATGACGATTCTTTTCTTTTTTCCAGGCAGGTGTGGTCTAATCAAAACATGTAACTGTTTAATTCCTCTCATTCAGTTGAAGAAGGCAAATGGCAGGCTTGGCACACTGCTCCTCCTCTGCTCCAACAAGCCCAGTGAATTCCCCCTGTGCTTCCGGTGAGTGACTGGCCATTTCTGGGTTCCCTAAGCAGAAGGAGGGGCTGACGGCTCTGGGCAGCTAAAGCACTGCCCTGCGCTTCTATTATTATTATTATTATTATTATTATTATTATTATTATTTACACTGCCCATCTGGCTGGGTTTCCCCAGCCACTCTTGGCGGCTCACAGAATATATAGATGTTACATACTAAAACATCAAACATTAAAAACTTCCTGATACAGGGCTGCCTTCAAATGTCGGATCCCTATGGATTAGGGATGCCTGAATCTGTCCAATTTGAGTTTTCTCCATTTCTCATTTTTCTGACTTCAAATTCAGGTCCTCGCTTTGTCAAATAATTAATTTTTTTTAAAAAAGATCCAGTGTTTTAGTGCAAATTTCATAAAATCATAAAATTGTGGAGTTGGAAGGGACCTCAGGGGTAATCTAGACCAACCCCTGCAATATTTGAATGTACATGCTATTCTGCCTAATAGATCCATTTATTATTAATTTTTTTGCAAAGCATATTGGGTGGAATTCAACTCAGTTTTACTCAGAGCAGACTTGTTGAAATTAATGGACCTAACTTATTTAAGACCTTAATTAAGTCTATGCTAAGTAAAGCTTAGTTGAATATCACCCAATTTCTCCTAAAATAATGCATTTTTGTATATTATCTTCACAATTATATGTATTTTTATGCACACTTTAAGTAAGAGTATGCATTTTTGCACACATTACTTGACTAGAGGAATGCATTGCAAAAAACAGGGCCCTGGGGCTGTTAAAGGATAGCTGCGTTTCCATTTTCATATTGCATACATGCAAATTAGATAGTTTCCTCTTCACAAGCAAACTGAATCGAATTTCCCCCCCATTCAGGTGTTGCTGGACTACAACTCCCATCATCCATGGAGACTGGCCATGCTGGCTGAGGCTGATGGGAATTGGAGTCCAACAACATGGGAGGGCACTAGAAGCCTGAAATAGCATCATGGGGTGGTGGGGATTTCCTTCACCACATTCATCGTCATAAAAAGAAATGCTTCTTTCACATTTATTCATTCATTTTATCTAACAGAATTTGCATGCTGCTTAATTGTAAAAACCTCTGGGCAGTTGACATAAAATACACCCAAAACCTATAGATAAAAGTCAGAAATTAAAAACAAGATAAAATCAGCCTTGAGGTTTTTAAACTGCTTTGAGGTTAAAGTTATCATTGTTATTTAATAAACAAATCATGCATATGAGGTTTCACTTTTCCTGAAGATGGTTTAAAAAAAAAAAAAACCACCAGCAAGGAACTTCTGCTGCTTGCAAACAAAGGTTTTGCAACTTCCAGACATCCCTCTGTGGCCTCCCTTCTCTTAGGCCAATTAGGAGGTGCCATCTGCCCAGCGTCTGTTTGCTTTCTGAAGAAGGAAATGGGGTAAAAAATCGACAAAGGGTTCTCTCTCCCCCATCAAGAAGTGCCAGCCTTTTGTGAAGATGTTTGCACTCAGCTTACATGTCAACAAACTCTTAATCTGCCTGGTCTGGTAGAGGGAAAGGCAAATATTGATTCTCCAGGCTCACAAGATGGCCTCCCCATTGTTTTCATGTCAGCGTGATCTCAGGAGGTTAAGGAATGATTTTGGAGGTTCTCTGGTTTGGGCTTGTAGCCAACCAACCAAGTTCTACTCAAAGAAGACTCATAGGGTAGAATCATAAAATCACTAGGGTCCACTAGGGTCATCTTGTCCTGTCTCACACAATGCAGGAATCTTTTGCAAAAGAAGACAAAGTTCCACCCAAAGAGGAATGGCTGATGAAGATGATGGACTATGCCGAAATGGCGAAACTGACTTGGAAAATCAGAAACCAGGAAGAGAAGAATTTTAAGAAGGACGTTGTGCATCTCTACGCATCTTCCAGTGCCTGAACTCCAGGGATGGTGGCTGCAAGCGCAGCTCACCCTGGCATCATCTCGCCTCGCAGAACTGGCTTGGCAATGATGCCAACCCCACAGCTGCCAAGTTGGGACTTGATGGGCAGGAGCAGCACGAGTGGCTGCTGAGAGAGAAACTTGGCAGCGGGCGAGAGGCCTTCTGAGTGGCGTCTCTCGGGTATGTTTAGCCTCCCTGCCTGAGAAAGTGAAGAAGCCCCAAGTCGGCAAATGTGCAATCTTTCCTGGAGCTATTTATAGAAGGAGATGATGAGAGACAAGCATCATTCAAGGAGTGAGGGTGCCGGGAGGCGGGGGGTGGGGAGGAGAGAGAAAGAGAAACAGAAGAGGAGGGAGGAGTGCGAAAGGCTGGCAGCTTCCTTATGGCTCAGCCCAAGTTGCCATCAGCCATCGAGGCACCTCAGCTGTCAATCTGCATCTGCAATCTGGCTGCATGGGGGCCCCATCCACAGGAAGCAGGGTGGGGCTTCTGAGATTGGCATGGAATGAATTTAAATATAAGTATGAATATGAATTTAAATTTAAATAATTATTTATTTATTTATTTATTTTGGAAAGGGCATGTGCTTCAATGGCACACATGAAAAAACGAAGGAAGGAAGGAAGGAAGGAAGGAAGGAAGGAAGGAAGGAAAAGAAAATGCAGATTTGGGTTGTTTTGGTCACAATTCCTGAAAGAATTATGATTATTGGGAGCAGGGGTAGCATACCCTCCAAGTGTCCCAATTTTCCAAGGACAATACCGGAATTACGAAAGCCATCCCAACTTCTGATTTGATCCCGGGATGTCTCTGTTTCCTCTGCCAGCGCCATAAGTGCTGAGCTCAGGGAGGAGGATGAGCCAACGCTTGTCCCAAGCGACGATGACAGCAGTGGCAGAGGCTGCCAGGAAGCATCCCGTTGTCTCTCTCAAATGACAAGTAAGGAGATCCCGGCAAAATCTCAGGAAGAACTTTCTGGTGGCAAGAGCCGTTCGACAGTGGAACAGCCTACATCAGAAGGTGGTGGACTTTGCCACCTTGGAGGTTTTTCAACAGAGGTTGGGTGCTCATCTTGTCAGGGATGCTTTAGATGTGATTCCTGTGTTGTTGTGGGGGTTGGACTAGATTGGGGTCCCTTCGAAATCTATGATTCTATGAAAGCTGGCTTTTGCTTACGAAATGCCCTCTCTGACGTCACAGCCTGGCTTGCAAGACAAACAACTCACATTCCATGGTGGGAAGAGACTTCAGATGCAATAATTGTGGCCTAGAGTTGGCTGCTGAGATGTGGAGTTTGGGAGGGGAAGATAGGCAGAACATGTGAAAGCTATTGATCTCAGAGCATCCATGAACACGCTCTTATTAAGCAACAGTAAATCTCAGCTGCTTTATAATTAGGTTGCTTCCTTCCCTTTGAACTCTCATCGCAAAGAGCCATTACTTAATTTGGCTGCCGTGATTTATATCTGAGAGGAAATACTAGGTTTGCTGGCATCACCGCTTACGCTTGAAAGGGTGTTCACGTTTGTTGGGGTTTTCTTCCCCAGGGAATTGTGTTTCTCTCTGAAGCTTTTGTTGTGTAACCTGTGTGGGATCACACAAACATACCCATCGCTGCCCCGGGGGCTGTATATTGTCAGTAGTGGTTGCCTTTGGTGGAACAGAACACTGTCTCCCAGGATCAGAGCTGTGATCCAGGGCACGTCTACTCTGCAAATATGAACCGGTTTCAGATGTGTATCGCTATCATATCAGTGCCATCGGAACAGACTGCAATTAAGTTAATGTTTGCATTGCAGTAAGATACAGATCGCTCCTTTCTGCCTATGTTGGATTTCTGGCAATATGGCTGAAATCAGGGGTTGCCAGAATTGGATGTGGTGGTGAGGAAGCTGAGGCTCATTTGGGTAAAAGGGTTGCAAAGGTATATGAGGGTAGGATGGAAAGGCAGTGTGGTGTAGTGGTTAGAGTCTTGGCATCGGAAGTGGGAGAGCCAGGTTCAAATCCTCACTTGGACATGGAGCTCACTAGGTGACTTTGGTCCAGACCCTCTCTCTCTCAGCCTAACTTAGTTCACAGGGCCATTGTGGAGATTAACTGAGGAGGAGGAGGAGGAGGAGGAGAATCAGGTGTGTTACCTTGAGCTCCTTGGAGGAAAAGGTGGGATATGAATACATAAATAAGGTGGGGAAAGAAGCCTTCTACTCCACACCAGAATGGTCAAAGGGCTGAAGCAATTCCCCTATGAGGAAAAAGCACAACCTTTGGGCCTTTGTAGCTTGGGCAGGGGAAGTCAACAGCAGCAGCAGCAGCAGCAGCAGCAGCAGCAGCAGCAACAACATCATTACGGTAATTTCTATGTCGGCCATCTGACTGGGTTGCCCCAGCCAGTCTAGGCAGCTTCCAGTCAAGTAAGGAGGGGACATGATAAAGATGTCTAAATTATGTGGAGACTTCCTGTTGGCATCTGGCTGGCCACTGTGGCTACATTCACACTACACACTTAAAGCATCACTTTGAACTGTCATGGCTTCCAACCAAGGAATTCTGGGAACTGCAGTTCGTTAAGTTGTTAGGAGGCCCCCTATTCTTCCTCCCAGTGCTACAATTCCCAGAGTTCCCAGTGAAGAGGAATCAAATGTTGAACCACTCTGTGGAATTGGGGTTCCTGACAACTCTCAGCACTCTTTATTTTATTTTATTTATTATTTATACCCCACTTCTCTCCCCACACACACCCCAAGGAGCTCAAGGTGATGTACACAAATCTTTCCCTCATTTAATCCCCTCAACAACCCTGTGAGGTAGGCTAGGCTGAGAGTAAATGACTGGCCCAAGGAGAGCTCCATGGTTGAGTGGGGTTTGAACCCTCGACTGTCCCAGGTCCTAGTCTGAAAATCAGGAGGCACTTCTTTCGGTGCCACACTCTCACAGGAGGCAGCTGACTCGGGTGAGAGCATGGCACCACAGCAAACTCCAGTGCCAGCTGCTCCTCTTCCCCAAGCTTGGCAGTGAAGGCGGTGCTGGAGGGGGGGGTGGAATGGGACATTCTGGGATCCAATCAGAAGCCAGAATGGCTTCTGTAATTCCTGGGTGTGCCAGGGAAATCAGGATGGTTGAGGAGTATGCACCACACTAGCCCTGACAGTTCCCAGAATCCTTTGGGGGAAAGCCATGACTGTTCAAAGTGGTACCATAGTCCTTTAAATGTATGGTGAGACTAGGATGCTTGACTAAAAGGGGTTCTCTTTAGATCCTGCAGCCAGGTCTCTCTCCTCTTCTTATCCATGCACTTGCAAACAGAACTGATATGGGTTTTGGGAGGGTTTGAGATCACGGGCTTGCTAGGAAAAAGTTCAAATGGCTCATCTCTCGAGCCAGGCGTGACTGGCTGGGGGCCTCCCGCAGCTCTTCACATGTTGAAGAAGAGAGCCTCAGGCGTGGCTGGCTCCAGGAGTCTTTCAGATGTTTGTTTTAAAATTTCAACACTGCCTTTTCCACTTCAGTCGAGATGCTCATGGAAAGTAAGGGATGGGATTAGAGTAAAAAAAAAAAGTAACATAAACAATAAAACAGAGCTGGTGCAGTGTAGGAGTTAAAGTGTCGAACTAGGGCCTAGGAAAGACCAGGTTCAAATCCCCCCTTGGCCAGGAAACTCACTGCATGACTTTGGGCCAGTCACTGCCCCTTGCAGCCTAACCTACCTTGCAGGGCTGTTGTGGAGATAAAATAAAGCATACCCTCCAACATTTCTCCGATGAAAATAGGGACGTCCCCTTCCATCATGATAATTTTACTATTTATGGTATACCCCACACGTATAGCACAGCCACTCTGGGCAGCTTCCAACATACATAAAAACATAATAAAACATTAAACATTTAGAAACTTCCCAATACAGGATTGCCCTCAGATGACTCGGGGATCAGATAACTCCATACCCTCCAACATTTCTCTGATGAAAATAGGGACATCCTAAGGAAAAGCGGGACATTCCAGGATCAAATCAGAAACCAGGACGTTCCTGGAAAATAGGGACACTGGGAGGGTCTGATAAAGGAGGCAGGAGAGGACTATGTCCGCCACTTTGAGCTCCTTGGAAGAAAGGAGGAATATACTGTAGGTGAGAAATAAATGCAATAAAATAAAATGAAAGTAAATAAATTATGACTCTACCCAGACCACCCAAGCCTCTTGACACCCTAATCTTTCCTCCATCTTAACCAGGATTATTTTTTCTTCCTTGTGAGAATTAATAGGCTGTGTGTGTGTGTGTGTGTGTGTGTGTGTGTTTGGTTGTAATAGACCTCGGTTGCCCTTGGCAACTTTGTCGGAGTTCACTTGTCTGTTCACTTCTCTCTAAATCTTCCTTTTTCTCCCCTTCGGGCTCTTTCCTGTCAGGTCGCAGCCGAGGAAAAAGTCAACAGAAAAGAGAAAGAACAACAGCCCTGTAGCTGACACAAGACGGGCTTGGTTTCCCCAGGTGCCCCTGAGGATTCTCGCATCACCTCTGCTGTTGACAGATGGCTTTTGCTTTTCGCTTTTGAATTTTGTGTCAATGACTTTCCAGTGACTGGAATACATTATGTTCTCGGGTCCCGCCCTGGCTCTCGAGATGCTTTTAATTTGTAGGTTTAAGCTTAAATTCCTCGACGGGTGCCAACTTTTCTGTTTGTTTTCCTCGGGAGCGCTTTGCACTATGGGTTTCGGTAACTGTTAACCGTTGGGGGGCATTAATTGCAGCTCCCGAGGTCATCTTTCAGAGCTGACTTATATTTCTGTCGACACCAGAGTTGCTCCTCGACGACCTGCCTTTCTGCTGCGGCGCAGCTTTTTTTTGACTCCTGTAATTACCCTCTGAATTTAAGCTGATTATGTCGACTTTGGAGGCTGCGTGTTTGTTTAATTCATCCATTGCTGGGTGTTTGCACAGCAGCTCCACGAGTAAACACAAAACTGATTGCGCATCTCTCAGAAAAAAACGGGTTTGCCCGATGGCTGTTTCCCCAAAGATACAGTCAAGTAAACAAGATGAGTTTCTCCAGAGCTGGCTGGTATCTGCTCTCTTTCATAGCCGTGTGAAATGTCAAATCATGCAGGCTTTCTGCAAATGTTTCCAAATGGAATCACCTAAAAACCAGCTACTGCCTCCAATGAGCCACCTCCTGCTGTTGACCAAACCGCTTTTGATGCCAAGGAATATTGTTTGATGGAACAATAGGAGCCGGGCTCGGAATGCTGGCAAACAGTTCGGCTTCTGTGTGTGAAGTGAAAGGTCCATTGGGGAAAAAATGCCTTCAAGCAGGGCTGTGCTGAAACAGGACCTCTCATTTCTCGATATTTTTGCTCCCCTGAGAAAGAAGCTTCTGCTTTTTCTCCTCATTCTCAGAGGCTTTGAAAATTTCTCATACCCTCCAACATTTATCTGATGAAAATAGGGACATCCTGCTTAATAATAATGATAATGATAAATTTTATTATTTATGCCCCACCCATCTGTCTAGGTTGCCCCAGCCAACATATATAACATGCAGCTTCCAACATATATAAAACATAACAAAACATTAAACATTTTAAAACTTCCCTATACAGGACTGCCTTCATATATATTCTAAGTTTGTGTGGTTCCTTATCTCCTTGGCTTGGGGGTCGCATAAAAGCTCTTTACATGCAATGTAACCCCAAGCAGACCTGGCACAAGAAGAGCTTTTGTCTCCACCTTGCTTGGATTTACCTTACTCAATTTCAACCAGCCTGCTTTCAACCACGTATGGTTTAAATCACACAAATTAAGTCGCACATAAAGCTGTAACCATACTGGATATTATTTAAGACTATCAAATACTGTACTCAAAAAGTAATCATCAGTTTGGTCCAATGATCGTCAGTTGGGAAATGGCCTGGGCCAAGAAGGAGATGTGTTTAGTAAGTTCTGAAACATTCTGTAGATAGAACCTCCTAAATGCCAGAGCAGAGAACATTCCAGAGATAGGGGCCACCACAGAGAAAGCCCTGCTTCCATATTGCCTGTAGGGAGCAGCCTGCATGCCATAGCAAGGTCGGCAGAGCCTCCTCGGATTATCTCGGTGATTGCACAGGTATGTATCGGGGAAGGGAATCCACTAGAAGGTATTCTGTGCGATTGGTATCTCTCTCTGTGCGGGGGATATGATTTTGCCCCTTCCTCTGGGTTGATGTCTGACTCCCTGGAGGGGGTTATGGCACACCGGCAGTGCATCATAAGGACGCCACAGGTTTGAAGTCCTGTAATAGCACCTCTGCAAGCAAACTCAACAAAGCTTTGATGTATTGCGATGATGCATTATTGGGACAATGGCAGTTTGATGCATTGCATTAAAGCATCATCAGAACAAAGGCACTTTGATATATTGTGGAAGCGTCTTGGCGTATTATCTTCCTCTGCTGCCGACGGGATGGTCTCTTAATGTATTTTCAATAATACATCATTATAGAGACAGACAGTGCTTAATTTCTAGGAGAGCGGCTGGAATTGAGTCTCCTGGAACAGAGTCAAATAGTGTTCTCCAAAATAATGCTCCTCTGATTCATTTCAGAGACACTTGTGCAAGAGGACTTTGTGATGGTTTTGCCCCCTTAATAAAGGGGTGGGGGGCCTTTTGGCTCTGGGGGGCAGTTCTTTATCCGCCCCCACCCCGTGCACCAACTTTGACCTATATTACCTATAAAGTCCTAAATGGCTTGCACCCAGGCTCCCTGAAATTTCGTATCTCCCTATAAGAACCTGGCCAGGTGTTAAGAGCCCCAGGTGAGCACCTTCTCTTGGTCCCCATCAGAGGCATGGTTGGTGCTGACATGAGAGAGAGCCTTTTCTGTGTCTGCACCTATGTTATGGAACTGTAGAGTTGGAAGGGACCTTGGGGGACACCTAGTCCAACCCCCTGCATGGCAGAAATCAAAGCTAAACAATCCTTGCCCATCCAACCTTCAGTGGAGAGTCCTTCCTAAGTCACCCTTTCCACAGCTGAACAGCTCTTACACCAGAAAGTTCTTCCTAATGTTTAGGCTTCAGGCACAGCCCTCTGGAACATGAAGCACAGATAATTTGTGTGTTGTGGGTCTCTCTCTGAAAAGGTCTAGCGTGGCCTGGGAAGTTGTCATAATTGATGGGACCTGTCAAGGAGGTTCCAGGGAGCCCCTGCTCCTGAAAGTGGCAAAATGCAAAGTCACTGCTGCAATCCAGTTCAAACTGGACCTATCTGACTGGGATCTGCTGCTGTAGAGTGTAGATGTTAAGTTGTGGGTGAACATATCAGACGACACAGTGATTCTTCAAACAGCTCTTGTTTATTCACAGGTCAGAACAGAAGTGAACTGAAGGGTTCAGCCAGCCTGCTTATATAGAGCTCCAGTACAACGTAACTGTAACAACTTTCTGTAACTATCCAATCACTGAACGTCACTTTCGATCCCATATTTGCATATGTGGACCTGAACTATCTACAGTATCCCCCTGCTGGCCCAGGGTGAGAACTTCAGTACATAACAGTAGACACTCCAAGCTCTTTTGGACACCCTTTGCCAGCTTGGTACCCTTGAGATGACTTTGTAGGGTTTTGCCAAAAGTTGTCAAACTTTTCTGGGCAAAATCGCAAGAAATGGAAGTTTTGGGGCTTTATGAGTTCAATTAAAAGTGTTGGTGCTGACCTTTAAAGCCCTAAACGGCCGTGGTCCAGTATACCTGAAGAAGCATCTCCACCCCCATCGTTCAGCCCAGACACTGAGGTCCAGCTCCAAGGGCCTTCTAGGGTTCCTTCACTGCGAAAAGTGAGGTTACAGGGAACCAGGGAGAGGGCCTTCTCGGTACTGGCACCTGCCCTGTGGAACGCCCTCCCATCAGATATCAAGACAATAAACAACTACGGTATTTTTCGCTCTATAAGACACACTTTTTCCCTCCTAAAAAGTAAGGGGAAATGTGTGTGTGTCTTATGGAGCGAATGCAGGCTGCGCAGCTATCCCAGAAGCCAGAACAGTAAGAGGGATTGTTGCTTTCGCTGCGCAACGATCCCTCTTGCTGTTCTGGCTTCTGGGATTCAGAATTTTTTTTTTCTTGTTTTCCTCCTCCAAAAACTAGGTGCGTCTTATGGTCTGCTGCGTCTCATAGAGCGAAAAATACAGTATCTGACTTTTAGAAGACATCTGAAGGCATCCCTGTTTAGGGAAGTTCTTAATGTTTGATGTTTTATCCTGTTTTTAATATTCTGTTGGTAGCCGTCCAGAGTGGCTGGGCAAACCCAGCCAGATGGGTGGGGAATGAATATTATTAAATCACCAAAAACGGCACTGCCGACATGGGTTGCCATGTGTCCGGGTTTTCCTGGACGTATTTTTGGGGAGGCCGATTTCCACCCGGACACGGTTTCCGACAGCAGTATACTGGGTATGTCCGGGAAAATCCGAGTCTATGGCAACCTTCGTTTTTGACTACAATTCCCATCAGCCCCTGTCTCCAAAAACACTTGGAGGGCACCAGGCTGGCCACTTCTGCTCCTGCAAAGCTCATGCCAAGCCCATAAATTTATGCCTGATTTTCTCCAAACAAATTCAGAGACCGAGAGTGAGGCAAAGCTGCTACGGAGGGCTGCCAAGAGGAATCTATCTCAGAAGAGGCGCTGTGGGAGCGGCGCTAATACTTTTGGAGATTGAAATGCCGCCCATGAAATTACAGATCATTTATCATCGCCAAGCGCTTTATGGAGAAAAATGGTTATTGCTTTTTAAACACTGGTGATTGCAGAGAAATTCTATCTAATCTTGCCTCTTTAATATGCATCTTATGAAAATGTCCGCAAGAGTGAGAGTGGGGTAGCAGCAGCAGAGGTTTTCAATGCGTGCTTAAATGCAAATATTTGCTTTATACAGTTTATTCCACTGAAACCTTGAAACCGTCCGGTGTCAGAATTTAATCCAAACTCCATTCTTGCCGCTGAAATAGTTTTCTGTTGTTCTGTTGGGAGGGAGGTGTGATGTGCTTAGAGTGCCAAAACTAGCACTTGAAACGTTCATGGTATTTTTTTCAGGTCAGCGGCCACACTGCCTTGTGGCCAAGCTTCTGGCAGCCATAGAATCATGGAGATGGAAGGGACCCTGAGGGTCATCTAGTCCAACCCCCTGCAATGCAGGAATTTATTGCCCATCAGGGGCTTGAACCCATGACCTTGAGATTAAGAGTCTCATGTTTTGCCAACTGAGCCATCTCAGCCAGCCAGGTGCCAGCAGTGGGTGGAGCCAGAGCCTAAAGTGGGTGGAGCCAGATATGAATTTCTCCACCTCCAATGCAAAGAAGCAAGTCCAGGGACTTATTCAAGCAAAGACAAAAGGCCTTGATGATGGGATGGAGCAGTGCTGGTGAGGGGTGTGGCCATGGAAGGGTTCATGGCCCAGGGAGAGTCCTGAGGGCCAGATTGAGGTCTGGAGAGACATTTGTCTCCCAGGCCTAGTTTCCTACCCTGGTGCAAAAGACTCGTGGGGGAAAAAATCTATTGAACATGTGCAGAGTTCTTTTCTCTCATCACTTCCTGTCCCAGGGTCTGCACATCTAGGAGTTCAGGAGGTTGGGACCTTCCAAAGTACAAAGGGGGGGGCATATAATAGACTTCTATCTAGAAACTTTTCTTAGGTCAAACTCAGCTAATTCCCACCTTGTTGGGAAAAAACACAACCATCCATCAGATTTCAATCTTCGCTGAAATTTGCAATATACTTTTTGACTCAAAAATGAACCCAAAGTATGCGTTTCAGGATAAAATACATTTAGAAATACATACTTTGAGATAAAATATGTATTTGTCAGCTGTCCTGCCATGTCCTAACACCCCCATGGAACTCCAGAACACCAGGAAGT